GGAGCGCGCGGACACCGGCACCTCCATCCTCTCGGTAACCTCCAGCGACTCGGAATGTGATGTATGATGCCCAAGGCCGTCCTCCTCCCCGCCCCCCTCCGCTCCGTATCCCCCTTCTCCTCCTTGACCTCCTCCTCGTCCTCCTCCAGCCCCAGAACAAACCGATATCAGGATACACCATCACACACACACACACACACACACACACACACACACGCGCACACACGCTCCCCACCCCAGCCAAAAAAAAATATATATATATTAAAAAAACAACACAAGAAAAATAAGTTTAACGCAAACCATCAACAACCCCCAACCCCCGTTTCTCATCGCGGCCACCCCAAAGGACTGCGACGTCAACAGACAGTCACAAACGCTGATGTTGTTGTGGGCAGAAAACATAAAAGAGGTGACAATTGTATACTTTCTCGGACAAGCACGGCTTCTCCTTTCGGTTCCCACGGACTGGCACCCCACCTGCATGACGATTTATTTGTATCTGGGAAAATATTCTCTCTAGTTTAAAACGATTTAAAAAGAGTCGACTGTACAAAAACCACCACCACGATGACAAGACAACAAAAGCAAAAGAGACAAAAAGAGGAAAAAGAAAGTAAAACCGCCATCTCCTTTCGGAATTTGTTTAAAAAGAAAAGAACTCTTGGAGAGGGAAATAGAAAATGTTTCTTGCCTTTTGTTGCGTGCTCTCTCTTTTTTCCTCTCTCTCTTTTCCTCTCTCTCTCTCTTTCTCTCTCCCTCTTTCTCTCTCTCTCTCTGTTTTGAAGTCCAAGTATTGGTCAAACAAGATGCAATTTTCTGTTTTTTTGTTCAGCAGACAATCATTTTCTTCGTAAGCACCTTTTTCTCTCCTCTCTGTCACTGCCTGTGTGGGTACTGGTTATAAATGTGGAAAAAGAATAGTTATGACTGTAACAGATTTTTATTTTTATTTCAAAATTTTATATGAATTATGTATATCTTAATGATTGGTCATTTTCCCAGTTTGTAATATATGTGTAGAAATTGCCTGTATATGATAATTGCTTTCTCTCCTCTCCCTTTCCCTTTCTTTCTCTCTTCCCCCTCCTGATCCCCTCTCCCCGCTCACCTCTTTGCTTTTGGGGGTTCCTCTCCCATTCAGTGTTTCAGGCGTGCTCTTCGGGCTGGGGTAGGAAGAGGGACCCTGTCAACAGCAAAAGCGGAGAGTGAGACCGTAGTATTCTTAAGCAAAAGCTATTCAAGTATTTCCTAGCTGCTTTGGCGATATCTCTCACTCCCTGTAGAGCGCTTTTACTGTTATCTTAACTGCGTGTTTATCTATATGTAAAAACTTTCTAAAGCAAATACAGTATTCTCCATTTTCTTATTACTCCTGGAGACTGGTGTTTTTGTCCGCCCCTGTGCCGAATCCCCGGGGTGCTGCACCCCCCGAGGTGCTGTGGCCGGGCCTGCCTTCCACTCCAGATATGCCGCCAGAGCTGGGGCAGAATGTTAAAGCGGGGTCTGAGCATTTCTCCTGGAGAAGGGAGGGGAGAAAATGGGCCCTTCGGAAAAGACCCGAAGCCAAATTCTGAGCAGAAAAGGCAGCGAGGGCACTGGGGGAGGAGGCTATAGCCGGTTTCTTCAGCACTGGCTGCCAGGCCCTGTCCCCAGGAATTGTAGCCTGCCTCGGCCTGTGTGGGTCACTGGGGGAGTGTTTGGCAGCTTTTGGTTGTTGTTGCCTTTTTTTTTTTTTTAAGGAGAAACACACAAGGTCACCAAATCTAAGCATCCACCCAGAGCGGGGTGGGGTGCAACTGTAGGCTGGGTGGGGAGGGTAGAGAGAGCAAGGCAAAAGTAGTTTGAGGAGTTCAGGGTCTAGAATCTGGATCGATCCCCTTCTCACTGCCCGGTGTGTGCATCTGTGTGACTGGACAACTTGCCTTATGGCACTCCATCCATCTCCCTGAAATCTCTTTCCATCCTTTGGGATTTACTGGAGTCCCTTCAACCCCAAGACATTTCAGAGTCGATTTACACTTTAAAATGAAAACCAAAAAGTCACCTCCTTTTGCTAACCTGGCCCCCTGGCCCCAGGCCTCCCTGCCCAGGGTAGGGTCCCCACGGTTCCCAGCGATGGTGTGACTGGTGGTGCCTCCACTCTGGGCTGTGCCAGGCTGTCCAGGGCCCGAGGAGGAGCCAAAGAGGCAATTTCAGAAAACTTGCCTTCACTTGAAAGTCCAATTTCCAAAGCGAAGGGGATTAGGGAGAACCATACCGCGCCTGGAATTTTGTGCCTGTTTCTAAACGTTGACGTCCGGTTTCCTTTTGTCCCCATCACTGGCTGCACGGTGGGGTTTATGCAGACGGGGCTGGACAGAGCGGCGGCCAGATCCACAGGTGCCTTGGGCGTGCAACTAGGGCCTTGTGTGCCCAAAGGCCCTTGTTTTCGTGAAGCAGAAGGTTTCTGCCAGCCTTCTTATTCAGAACCAGGGCATCCAGACAACCTCCGGAGCTTCCAAGTCCTGTCAGAATCTCTGCACGTGTTTACTGCCCTGGAAAAACGGTCCTCTTGATGCCAGGGTCCAGGCGATATTGACCTGGGTGCAAGGCATTTGGAGAAGGGGCTCCCTGGGTTCTACCCAACATGAGCCTCTGTTTTTTAAATGGCTTGTCACTTACTGACCCATATTTTGGGCCTGGAAACCCAGAGAAGTGGCTGCCTCAGACAGTGTGGAGCATCTGGATGGACCCCACCCAACTGCCTAACCAGAATTTGGGGGTGGAAGGAAAGGCGTGTCAGGCTGAGGAGTGACTCCTGGAGGGGCCTTGTCGGCTGACACTAGGGAGCAGATGCCTTTTTGTCTGGGGGCAGGGGTCAAACTCGTGGAATTAAAATCCCTCCAGCAGCATATCCTTCAGGGAAAGCAAGTTTGGGGCATCCAGTGCCCATGCCTCCTCCGCTGCAGAAAGGAGGCGGCAAGACCCCCAGCAGCCTTCCTTCTGGAGGCCTAGGCACTGCTGGGTGTCACCTACCTGCTATTGGTCTGCCTCGCTGTCTGTCATCGATCACTCTCTCTCTCTCTCTCTCATTGCCTATGTTTCTATCCAGGTCTGTGCACATACAAACACTCTACTCTGCCCTTTCTGACCTTGCCTACAGATTCCCCATGGAAGAGGCACGAGTGCTCGTTGTGAGAGGGGTCGATGTGTGCCATTCTGAATGCTGGGCTTCCACTATGCAGTCCAGGTCTGCATATGAAGTGGTGTGTGTGTGTGTGTGTGTGTGTGTGTGTGTGAGAGAGAGAGAGAGAGAGAGAGACGATTGATATAAATGTGTGTACAGTGCATCAGTGTGTGTTCAGTATGTGTTTTCATGTATATAGCCTGTAGTGTAAGTGTCTGTGTGGGGGTTGGGCAATTTAAATGTACCTAATTCTGCAAGCAGTGGCTTTAGTACACCTACGGGATGCTGTGCATGCAGGGTCTTTCTGTGCAGTGGACATGTGTCTTGTGGGATTCTGGTGTGGACCTGTGTAGGTTCCCTTGTTCTAGTCAACTAGCAGATATGACCACCGGGCCCATCACCCTTAATGGACCTTCCTGTCCCTTCCAGGCATGGGTATTCTTTCACTGGAGGGTGGAAGGAAGTTGGGCTCTATGGCCTCCCCGGTCCACCCTTTGCCCTGATACACTGTGGCTGTGACGTTGAATCTGGCCCCTGCCTCTTTAAACAGTGAGGGGAAAGAGGCCCCTTTCTCTCCAGATCTCCTTTTATCAGCTGCATGCCCATTCTTCTTTCTGGGTCCCTCAGAGCCACAGTCAACATCCTAGCGGCTGTGGGGCAGAACTCCAGGGCAAGGCTTGGCTGAAGCTCTGGGGACTGAAAAGCCATCCCAGGCACTGTGCGTAGCTCACGCAGCCTGGGAATGTTGCAGGTCGTGCCTTCTGTGGTGGGTGGGGGTGCCATGTGGTGTACTCTCCAGTGGGCCCCATCACCTCCTCAGGCTGGGCAAGCAGGCCTCAGCTTTAACCTTCCATCCCCTCTGTCTGGCCTGTGGCAGTCTGTGGGCCAGCTCTGCTCCTGCTGCTATGCCAGGGCATTGGCACACACTGCCCGGTGCCCAGTGCTTCTGCCTGGGGCTGCAGCCGGCGCCTCAGCCAGCACCTTCTGCCTCCGAGCTTCCCTTGTGTACGTAGGCCTCTTCCTACCTGGGCAGCCTACTCTAGTGTGTAAGGGGCTTGAAGAATAACAGCCAATGTGGGGATATTCTCTTCGTTCCTACCTCTCTCAAAGAAAAACAATATCAACCTGCGGTTGCACCAGAAACATGAACTGGCAGAATGGGATGTGAAACTGGGAAAATCTGTATCAAAGTCATGGACTCCTCGAAGCCGCCTGCCTGAGGGAAGGTAGCCCAACCTATCCCTTCCGGCCTGTTCCCCTCTTCCGCCCCCTACCCCGGCGGTGGTCCTGAGCCCCAACACGGCCCCCTTGCTTGCTCTCCTTGAATCCTGTGAAATTGACTGCCCGCCAGCGCAGCTGATTGTCCCCATCCTCGTATAGCTGATTAAAATGAAATGACCTGGAAGCTGCCACAGCGCGGCGTTGGGATGCTGATCAGTAGTGAGACTGGAGGCACAGGAGCCTGGCCATCCGGCTGGCATTGGGGTTGGAGGCCAGTGATGGCCGGCCTTTGGGGCGTGCGGACGGCTCCAGTGAGGCGCTGGGAGGGCCACGCCCAGGCCTAGGCAGGCCGAGTGATGGGTCGAGAACCCTAGCGTGGGCTGTGTGGGAGGAGTGCTCCGGTAGCTTCTTCTGAAAGGAGACCCGGCCAGCCCAGCGCATTCTGGACCCAGCCCATTGCTCAGGTCGCTGGGGCTAGTCCGGCCAGGCCAGCCCGTGGTTACTGGGCCTCCCTGAGCGTTGGAGGTCTGCCTCTGCTTGCTCTCCCTGTCTTCCTCTGCCTCTGTGGCTTTCTTGGTCCCCTGCCTAAGTCTCGGTCTCTGCGTGGCTGTCACCTGGAGCACTAGCTGCTGCCTCAGGGACTTTTCTGGACCTTCCCCTCCCCCCCTCCCCCAAGGGCTGGGGCTATGTCCAGCCCACCTGATGGAAGCCCCTAACTGCTCATGCTCAGGCCCGCTCATCCCCACACCCCTTCTGGCCCCAGCTGAGTTGAGCCTCCTCTGCCCTGTACCAGGGCCCCAGGGCCCTCCAGTCCAAGGGAGGGCAGAAGGGAGCCAGGGAGGAGGGGAGCGGCGCTAGCCAGCTCTGATTTCTCCGGTCAGCTGAGCACAACTTTCCATTCGAGTGTATTCATGCAGCGGCTGATTGAGCTCCGCCGTGGCGGGCGGGGCTCCACAGGAGCGGCAGGCACAGCCCGGCTGACAGAGGCTACACGCGCGCACACACTCACTCACTTATCTATACAAATACAGCCCCCAGCTCACAGGTGGTGCACACACCTCACCCCATCATAAACCTCGATAGCCCTTTCCCCTACTGCCCACCTGTCCCAGAGCAGCTTGCTAACACCCGTGGATGTTCTTCCCTGCACAACACAGCCCTGCCTTTCCGATTTCCTCCTTATAGATTCTACATTGGTCCTTAGACACAGACACGAGAACCCTCCATCCTGTCTCCCCTGCAGGCACACTCTCC